ATAAATGTGCAAGGGAAGGAAAATGCCAAGTTACCTGATTTAATCATGAAATAGTATACGTTTATAATAAATGATCATACTTTATGTCATAAATACATGAAATTACTAATCATCAATTAAATGAGAATAAAAGATAATGCTACCATAAAAATGAATTTAGAACATGTACAAAGGAGCCAGAATACACAAAAGGTAAAAACTGGGCATAATAAAAATTGCTTTCATTTTATCATGTAGTGCACTAGCCCTTGTTATAAGCATTTTAACTGTATCCACCAAGAAATTCTTGTAGCAATGCTAGAAGATGGGAAAGAGTCTGATCATTATTAGACTTTGTTTTCCAGATGAGGTAAGTAGATCAGAAGAGCCTATAATTTTTTTAAGGGGCAAACAACCACAACTGGGGATTGGACTATAGAGACTGTGTCTTTTTAAAAAAATAAAATTATTTATTTATTTTACATCCCTACTGTATTTTCCCCTCCCTCCTCTTGTCCCAGTTTCTCCCTTCCCCAAGCCCCCTCTGTCACCACCCTCCAATCCACTCCTCCTCTGTTTCTAGTTAGGAAAGGGCAGATCTCCCATGAGTATCAACAGAACATGGCATATCAAGTTGCAGTAAGACTAATACACTCCCCATGTATTAAAATTGGGCAAGGTGAGCCGGGCGGTGGTGGCGCACGCCTTTAATCCCAGCACTCGGGAGGCAGAGGCAGGCGGATCTCTGTGAGTTCGAGGCCAGCCTGGTCTCCAAAGCGAGTACCAGGAAAGGCGCAAAAGCTACACAGAGAAACCCTGTCTCGAAAAACAAAAAAAACAAAACAAAACAAAAAAAAAATTGGGCAAGGTGACCCAGTATGAGGCATAGGATCCCAAAAGTCAGTAAGCCCTTGTTCCCGCTGTTAGAAGTCTCACAATTGGACTAAGCTACACAGCTGTAACACACATACAGAGTGCCTAGGTCAGTCCCATGCAGGCTGCCTGGTGTCTGTTTAGTCTCTGTGAGCCCCTGTAAGCCCTGGTTAGTTGATTGTGTGAGTTTTTGTGTGGTGTCCTTGACCCCTCTGGCTCCTACAACCCTTTCACCCCTCTTTTGCAGGATTCCCCGACTCTGCATCTGTTTGCATCGGTTGTTGGATAAAGCCTCTGATGACAATTGGGCAAGCTACCACTATGATCACAGGAGATGTCCAGTTTAGGCTACATATCCACTATTGCTAAGCATCTTATCTGGGATCATCCTTGCAGATTCTTGGGAGATTCCCTTGCACTAGGTTTTAATCTGACCCCCAAATGACCCCCCTTTCCAGTAGTCTCTTTCAGTTACCCCCCACCCCACACAGACACAACCCGATCTTCCATGTTCCTATCCCCACCTGCCCACAGCCCACTCATGAAATCTCTTCTATTCCCCTGCTCAGGGAGGTCTGGGTGCTCCTCCTTGAACCCTCATTGTTACCTAGTATCTCTGTGTCTGTGGATGGGACATAGTTATCCTTCACTTTACAGCTGATATTCACTCACGAGTGAGTACACACCATGTTTGTTTTTCTCAGTCTGGGTCACCTCACTCAGGATGATTTTTTTTTTTTCTAGTTCCATCCATTTGCCTTCAAATTTCGTGATGTCATTGTTTTAACACCTGAGTAATATTCCATTGTGTAAATGTACCACATTTGCTTTATCCAATTCTCAGTTGAGGGACATCTAGGTTGTTTCCAGGTTCTGGTTATTATGAATAAAGTTGCCATGAGCATAGATGAGCATAGAGTCTGTAAGACATCAGTCCTTCTGGATTTTACAGTCTCTGCTGTGCAGCTATCTGGGTATGATTCTAATAGGTCTGCCTTTGTACATTACATGGCCTTTTCCCCTTGCAGCTTTTATATTCTTTCTTTGTTTTCTATGTTTAGTGCTTTGATTATTATATGGCAAGGGGATTTTCTTTTCTGGCCTAATCTATTTGGTGTTCTGTAAGGTTCTTGTACCTATAATAGGCATCTTCTTCTTTAGGTTGGGAAAATTTTTTGCTATGACTTTATTAAATACATTCTCTGCATTTTTAAGATGGGTTTCTTCTCTTTCTTCTATTCCTATTATTCTTAGATTTGGTCTTTTCATAGTTTCCAAGGTTTCCTGGATTTTTGTGGTAGGAATTTTTTAGATTTAACCTTTTCTTTGACTGATGAATCTGTTTCCTCTATTGTGTCTTCAATGCCTGAGATTCTGTCTTCCATCTCTTATACTGTGTTGGTGATGCTTGCATCTGCAGTTCCTATTCACTTACCCAGATTTTCCATTTCCAGGATTTCTTCTGTTTGTGCTTTATTGCTTTTATTTCCATTTTCTGGTCTCGAACAGTTTTCCTTCATCTGTTTCTCCCCCACACACCTTGGCTTTCTTTCCAGTTGTTTTTTTGTTTGTCTTTTCCTCAATTTCTTTAGGGGATTTTTTTTTTCTTATTCTCTTTAAGGACCTCCTTCATCTTTATAAAGTAATTTTAATGTCATTTTCTCATGCTTCAGCTGTGTTGGAATACACAGGTCTTTGCTGTTGTAGGACAGCTGAGCTCTCATCATGCCATATTGCCTTTTCTGTTATTGATTGGGTTCTTATACTGACATTTATGCATCTGGATTTGGGATGATTATGGGTCTAGGTATTGATTCCTGCATTTGTCTTTGTTGGGTAGGTGTTTTCTTCCTTGGTTTCTCTTTCCTCTCTGGTCTTCTGGCCTGGAGTCCCTAGATCTGGCCTGGCCTCTGGTAAAGTAGAAGTCATCTTCCAAAGTTGTCGATCAGGATATGGAATACGGAGCCTGGGGGAAGGAGGTGCTGTCTGAGTTGTTAGGGAAGTCTAGAGGGGTTTTGTGGCCCATAAGTAGTGTCTTACCTAGGGTTCCTAGGACTAGCCTGGCCTCCTGTGAAGACTGCAGGGGCTGTGGGCCCTAGTATGGAGCCCAGGGGAGAGGAGACAGTCTTGGGTTATTGGATGTGTTTTAAGGAGTATAGCTAGCAGTGGGTGATGTTCTGTCTGAGGTTTCTAGGCCTTGGCATCTGGTTAAAATCAAAGACTTCTTCCAAAGTAGTAGACAGGGATGTGGAGCCCAGGGGTGAGAGTATGTTCTGAGGTTGTTGCGCATGCTTAAAGAGGTTTAGTGGGTGGTGGGAGGTATCTTCCCCACTGTCTCTAGTACCACTCTGGTCTTCAGGAAAGCTGCCAGGCTGTGGCCCTTGGGAAGGGGTACATCCTGGGGTTGCTGGGTGGACTTTAAGGAGTGTTAGCAGACAGTGGGAGGTGTCTTACCTGGGGTCTCTACACCAGGCCTGGCCTCTGGTAAAACAGAAATCTTCTTCCAAAGCTGTAGACCAGGATATGGGTATGTGTGGGGGTGCAGTCTGGGGTTGTTAGGCAGACTTAAAGGTATTTGGTGGGTGGTGGGAAATGTCTTACCTGGGATTCTTAGGACCAGTCTTGCCTCTTGTAAGACTGATTGGGCTGTGGGCCCTAGTATGGAGCTCAGGGGAGGGGTACAGCCTTGGGTTATTGTGCATGTTTTAAGGAGTGTTAGCTGGCAGTGGGTGATATTCTACCTAGGGTTCCTAGATTCTGCCTGGCATCTGGTAAAGCCAATGACTACTTCCAAAGTAGTAGGCAGGGATATAGAGCCCAGAGGTGGGGATGCAATCTGGGGTCCCTAGATTCAACCTGGCCTCTGGAGTGACTAGGACCAGACTGGCCTCCCAAAAGGTTGCCATGACTTAGGGCCCTAGTATTGAGATTGTGTCTTAATACTATACAGTTTCTAGATAAAACAGCTTTAACATACAATAAATACCTATAATATGTTTTCAAAAGACACAGTATAGTTCTTTTTACATCTCTATAGACACACATTTTACTCTGGGAACCAAACACAGGGCCTTATGCATGCCAAGCACATGTGCTGCTACTGGAATAGATTCTATAGTTTCTATTTTAATACGATTACTTTAAATATAGAGCTTTAAAATAATATACCCATTTACTTATATTTTACAAAGGACTTTATTTAGAGAGTTTATAGTTATACATTTTGTTTCAAAGTTATACTACTTTTCAAAATTTTATTCTAAGAAAGATTGTTCAGTGAAAACTTTCACATTTCCAAAGAAGAATGGGAAGAGGCTTCTAAGCAAATCTCATTTCCAGGAATGCCCTATTCATGAGCATCATGCACAGTCCTCACCTGATTATCTTTTAGCAATCCTGCTGAATTGTTTCACAATACTTTTACTTAATCCCTAATGAGTCTGACATAATAGCCTGCAAAGTGTTGCAGTTTTCTATAGCTCTTTTACTTAATGAGGTATCATGGGCTTACTAAGTGAATGCATCAATAAAACAAGGTCTATTTCACTATGTGTTGGTAGAGAAATGGTTCATCTTCCTTACTGCTGAATTTAGGGAAGATGTTTTACATATCATAACTTCTATCAATGAGAGAAGTACAGTGTCGGCTGACATGATCTATGATTCAAGTATAACAAAGTAGATGCATCCATCTTTTGAAGTCTATTTTGCTGAAAGAATCATAAACACTTGTATTTCTGTTTCTATTAGATTTAAGTGGGAAAAAAACCAAAGGGGCCCCATTGTTCTTTTTCTGATTTAATTCAGGGTGGCTGAGAAACTCTCTGGCAGCTGCGCTGTTCTTGCAGTTTTAGTACACAGACTGCTCTTGATTTATTAGCTTTCAGATAGGAGCTCTGCTGTGCTGCTGCGATCTTTGGCTTACACAGCACCTGTGTAGACCTCCATGATACATTTTATTTATTATTTATTCAGCATTAAAGGATAAATAGGAGACAAACTGGTTCAGAGGTCACCTGAACTTTTGACTTCTGAAGTCTCTGAAAACATGCATTCTGATTTACTTAAAATGAGGGCAGTCCAATCAGCTAAAATGTTATGGAAAATGGCATGGCGTGTATAAAGGACCTAAATGAAGAGACACTTACTTAGGATACTGCATTGCTGTTCGTTTTAGTCATCTTCTTAAGGAGGTTCTCTGTCCGTAGGCACACTGAGCTGGCGTCATCAATCCCCAGGAAGAACATCCAGAGAAAGGGCTTCTGCCAAGTTGAACTTGACCATTTGTTATCATTAGAGAGCTGTTTGTAAAAAACAGAATTTTCTTCTTAGCTGACAAGGCACAAATTTCAAGAACTAAATAACCCAGGACCAGAAAAGAATCTTGGCCTCATCCACCATTGGGTGGGTGGGAGGGGGAAAGCAATGCTTCCGTTCTCCTTAACAGCACAAGGGAGTTACGCATCACACCTCCAACATTTTCTGCACGCCTGTGATGGGAGACAGGTGCTTTGAAACGTCAGTGAATCTGGAAGTTACTATTCATAATCTTTTTTTTTTCTATTTTAAAGGTGAGATCATCATTGGAGCTGCTATGAAAAATAATGTTATACTTTGAAGAAATGAACCTTTTTGTATTCCTAAAAGTCTGTTAAATAATTTGAAGTTTTATATTTTTGTCTAATTTCTGTATAGATGTCAGTGGTGATGCATAGATAATCTCATTTTATAAGTATTCTAGTATCTGTTTAACCGCCCCACCCAACATGAGTGTTATTATGCCTCTTGTTCCTTCAGCTCTATGCCCTCAAATCCAGCTTTAGGCTGCTTCCTGGTTGTGAAAAACAGAGGTTCTTTCATGGCCCCATTTTTTTTTTTTTTTTTGCCTTGCTTCCTGACATCATCTGCTTTCTATGCTTAAACACTTATCTTTGGTTCTCTCTGCCTGTGCCACTAGCCTGATGCATGACCATGTCTCTTGCTACCTGGTCATTTTTTTTTTTTTAATGGTCTTGTAGCATATTTCTGATTTTGCCTTTGCTTCTATGGAACTCTTCCCCTATAAAGCAGCCAAAGGCATCGTTTTACACATGAAAGCCACAATGAATCCCTTCTGTGGTTAGAACTATTTTTGTCTTCCCATCCCAGTTACAGGTCATTCTCAGGCCCTGTCAGCCTCTTTAAGTATTTGTCTGACTTGGCATCTGCTTATAACTTATCCTAGGCTGCCCTTCCTAAGAAATGTTCCATGCTGATTGTTATTAGAACATATGATGGATTATAAAACTATAAACAGCTGGGAGTAAGGTTCTCTAAGCATCAACATTAAGAGGAAGTCCATACTGCAGACATCAGAGAAAACAACTCTTTACTTCATTTTCAGACCTGGGTAGAGATTTATCATGTGATACCACGTGACATGAGGGTGTCGGGTTATTGTGAATGTTAATGAAGTCCATATGAAAGGTTCAAAGATGATTTCCCCACCTTCTACAAACAGGTATTTCTAAACTTAAAGCAAATCTTGATGGGAAAGTAGGTTAGGTCCATGTTCTCAAATGATCCTCTTTGTGCCAATTTCTGACTTTTGAATTCAGGAAAGGAAAATGAAATCTCATGTAAAGCAAAAAAAGCAGCACAGTTAGACTAGAAGCCATTGGAGGGTTAAGATGCATTAAGAGGAGCACTGTGTAGGAAACATTGTACTTACATAGATGTTTCAGAACAGACTGGAGAACATCTTGCTGAACATCTCTTGAATTCTGCTAAAATGTTACGTCTCCTGATACATCTTCACATATGTCACTTTTGCACTTTGGAGGCCTGTGCATCACAAGCTGAAAGCACATTTTGTACTATTTTTAAGATTCAAGTGTCAGACTGTCACCCTGGCTCACAGTAGCTGTGGTAACACGGGCGACTGGGTTAGTTACTTTTCTCAACGCTGTGACAAATGTCTCAAAGAGGCAACTGTGGGTTTATTTTGGCTCACAATTTACAGGGGTCAGTGCATTACTAAAATGGCATGATGTGAGGCTAAGGAGCTTACATTGTGGTGTGTTCACATTGTGTACCACATTTAGTGTTGAAATCCTTGTCATTTTTCCCTAATGACTTAAATCACCCAGCTAGGCCTTATGACTTAGGTTCTATATTCTCTCAAATGACCATGACTATCTGGGAAGCAAGGGTTCAAACACATGAGCCTGTGGGACTCATTTTAACATTACATATCTCACTTGGTTCCGCTTCACTTTCTTTGTAAAACAGACATTAGGATCTTGTGTTTCTCTACATTGGTAATAAATGCGAATTGGTTTAGGTGTTGGTTGGTTTTATGTCAACTTGACACAGCTATAGTTTTACATGAGGAAGGAGTCTAAAATGAGAAAATGTCTCTATAAGACTGTGCTGTACGTAAGACTGTAGAGTCTTTTAATTATCTTAATTAGCGATTGATTGGGGAGGATGGGAGGGTCCACCCCACTCTAGGTGGTACTACTCTGGGTTGATGATCCTGTGTTCTATAAGGAAGCAGGCTGACCAAGCCATGAGGAGCAAGCCAGCAAGCAGCACCCCTCTACAGCCTCTGCATCAGCTCCTGCCTCCAGGTCCGAACTGATTTAGATTATAAACTGTTACTTATATGTGTGAGTGAAATACATTCCTTCTTCTACAGGTTGTTTTGGGCATGGTGTTTCATCACAGCAATAGTCACCCTACTTAAAACAATTTATATGTGTGAGAAACTTAAAGAGGTGTCTGGTATGCTGCAGTCTCTAGATAAATTTTATTTTCATAGCTTTGGAATACCTGTGGTTTTGTGCATCATTTAACTATGTGCATTTTCTAGGTTCCTTTCATCTATGAGATTATGAACATCTTGGTCCATGTGGAGTGAATGTATATCTGTTATCATTGCCTCTCTTCAACAAAATTGCTCAGTAATCACCATCTAGAAGTAATTAAGAATGTGCATTTTTCTAAGAGGAATATCTTGGTGTCAGCTGACTGCTGTAGACAATGACAGCCTTCCTCAAATTAGACCCCAATGTCACCTATTAGTAGCATGACTAAGGTAAAAACTAGTGTTTCTTAGGTGAGTGAATATTAGGATATCCTCTTAGAAAAATGCAGTTAGGTTTTCAGCTCCACTTTGTTTCTTAGTACTTCATTCATTCGTCTTCATCCTTATCTTTCTTTTCTTCTCCTCCTTCTCCTTCTCCTTCTCCTTCTTCTTCTTCCTCCATTTCTTCTTGTCTTTCTAGATTTCCTCTCAACTTGGACTTCTGCTAGAGAAACCGCAGAACAGTGGAGAATTTTGGAAAGTGCTTGCCTACCTCCATTCTAGATAGGATGCTGCATTGGCGCTGGCGTGTTAGGCAGTATATGTGCTTTAATGACTTACAGGCTCCCTAGCTTTGGTTATAGGGTGCCTCTATGTTCATTTGCTTAAAACACTGGCAGCAATGCACTTAGTAATTCATTGAACACTGTAGGAGTTATAGATATAATGCCGTAAAAATAATAACCTAGAGTATGCAAAGTTCTTCCTAGGGAAACATTTCACCTTACAGTCAATTTTTCTGTACTGCTGTTGTCAAAAGAATGTGTAACAGCCAGATTAAAAAAACTACATTAGGTACACTGAAGAGAGATAGATAGGCTTGGGCAAGTCACCTAGATAAAGTTCTTCAAGGACAGACAGAAATGTGTGCCCTGCTGCTGGGGTTTAGGACAACACCTCCTCCAATAGCATCCCAATCCTGAGAAATAGTTTTTTTCTTCTGACTAACAGAACTTGGAACTAAGCTACAACTATATATAGCTTGACTCAATTTTCAGGTGTAGAATTTGTTCTCAAGGAGTGGAAAAGACAGATTGGATCACACTGTCATGTTCTCCTAGAGGAGACATAGGCAGGTGATGTAAAGCCAGAACATGTGGACAAACAGTGTGGAAAGGACCATGCATCATGGACTGCTTGCCTGGGCAGATGGAAATATCAAGGGCATAATCTCTGGGAAGGAGAGACTGCTGCCCTGGGTCCATACATATCATTCATCCATGTGGCCATATTGAGAACACAGGGCACATCTATTTTCTGAAATTGGTAACTAGTCCTGCTCCTGCCTTGGCAGGACCTGGAGAAGCTACTCAATAGGTTGGAATTATCTAAATACTCCTAAACTCATTTCCCCAATCCAATTGTAGATAGAAGAGATTTGAAGAGACTAACATGCGCGCGCGCGCACACACACACACACACACACACACACACAACCTAATAAATAGAGTAAGAAGTTGAACTCCCTTAGTGATGTATGCAGGTTTCCAGGAAATGGTGCAGCACAACGTAGCAGTAGTGATTAAATGCCCCAGTGGTAATGCAAAACAGAGATGCAGCCTGCTCCCTGGGGACTTGTTGCAGCAAAACCACCTAATCAAATCTTCTAACAAGGCTCTTGCTGTGGAGTACAGTCAGTTGGCAGGCCTGTTAGGTCCACTTTCCTTTTTCACAGACATCGTTATCTGTCATCCCCTTATTCCTTTTAATTGCTCTGAGCAAGGATTTTGTTATCCACTTAGCAATGGGGACCAAACTCATCAATACTCAATTTAAGCCAAATGCTCATAAAGACAGCAGTGAAATCTCTGCTGCTTTTCTGAATATCATGATGGCTGTACTTCTGCAAGCAGGCCTTCCTCTTCATGTCTGTGCGGCTCTTCTGGTCCACTGTGTTTCTAGCCAGCTACACTCAAATCTGGAGAGACATTATGCTTTTGTTTTGTTGTTTAAATAAAATTGCTTCCCCTTTATTTTTGTGTGACTTCCAGATAATTTGGATCCACTGAATCATGATACTATGAAAATATGTGCATGGTATTGCTCAAAACATGCTGACTCAGCTCCAATTTTACGTGACAGTAACCCTTATCATGCACTTATGAAAAATTAGAATTAGAAAAGAAATAGATTTTAATAAATGTATTTAGAATAATTTAGTGATAAAATAATAAAATAGAAACAAAATAAATTAGTTTAAATGCAAACCATGCTAGTTTTTCATTTTGATATCTACCATGAGAGCTTCTTACATGTATGTGCTATTAGTAATCTCATATTTAAAGCCAATAAACAAGTAACTCCTGAGTTTGGTGGCATGTATGTGCAATCCTAGACAGAGGATTATTGTAAGGTCAGCTACTTGTTGAGATCTAAACCATCCAGAGCCACATATGAAGGTTCTGTCTCAATTCCCTGCCACCCAGAAAAGAATTTCATAGGTTGATTTCTGTGATAATGTATAAATTCTCAGCATTTAA